TCTTTTGCTTTTCAAAGAGAGGAGCAAACTGGGAGGAGGGGGTAAAGAAAAAAGTGCAACAATGAATGAATGAAAATCCAAAATCTCTGTAAATGTTCATTAAAATGAAGAGGTGAAAAAAGGAAAAAAAGAGGAAATGATATGAACACAGGTCTGAGGCCTTCAACATAAATGAATGAAAACCAGATGAGCTATGGGAGAATGTCAAGAATATCACCCATGAAAAATGCAGAAGTCATTACAAAAATGGAGGAAGAAAAAAAGATCAAAATGTATGTCAGAAGAAACTCTGAATATTGCACTAAAGCACAGAGAAACCAAAGCAAGGGGTGGGGTGTGGGAGAGTGGGGTGTGTGGATAAAAAAGTTAAAGAGCTGAATAGAAGATTCCAAAGGGCTGTTTGGGAAGACAAAGCAAAGCTGGAGTCTAAAAATCTAAAGAGCTGAACTCACTAGGTATTTCTTAAGCTAAAGTAACTAAAAAACAAATTCAAGCCACAAGGTGCAATACTTAAGGATGCTATGGACAGAATATTGAATGATTCAGGAAGCATTTAAAGAAGATTGAAGGTGTATACAGAGGCACTGTACAAGAAAAAAAATGGCTAATACAGAAGAATTTCAAGAAAAAAACATGATCAAGAGCCTGTGGTGATGAAGGAGGAAGTGCAGGCTGCACTGAAAGACTCAGCAAAAATAAGGCCCCAGGAATTGATGGAATACTAATTGACATACTTCAACAAGCAGATGCTGCCCTGGACATGCTCACTAGGTTGTGCAAAGAAATCTGGAGAACAGCTAGCTGGCCAACAGACTGGAAGAGATCCATATTTATTCCCATTCCAAAAAAAGGTGACTCAATTCAATATCACTAATAACACTGATTACACAACCTTGTTGTTATTTTCATGCAATCGTTTATCTTGTATTTTATTAATGTACATTCTTCAATGTGTGTGTTTGGTTTTGGTAAATTAAATCCATTCTACTTTTTCAAAAAAAGCAAACATGAAAACTTCCAGGTGTGATAAAGAGCTAAAAAAAAATTAGCAAGTCATAAAAAATATTCTATCCTCTAGAACTTTAGATTTCACCTAGGAAAATAAGAATTTTCCTTTTCAGAGAAGCTTCTAGATTTGCCTGTTTTGAAAGAGGAGGTGATGTGGCAGCTGGCTGGGGCCCTGTTCCTCTTGAATGAGGAATATTTTTGTACACTCAGTCAGTGAAAACTCATCACTGTGGTGGACGTTCGGAGCTGGGACTAAAGTGGAACTCAAAAGTGAGTAAAATCCAACTTTCCTTCCTCGATTGTCTGTGTCCTATAGTTGCTGTGTTTGTGATGTGATTGATATATAGTGAGATTCTCAGTATCCTTGGTGGAATTACTGTGGAAACATAATGGCATAGCATTTGGCAGCTCCAACGCTAGCGTGGATACCCCTCTGAGCTCTTCCTACTGAGTTCTTCTAATAGATCAAGTACATGTACTTCTCTACTTTGAACCTCAGCTCTGACATTGTGTAGGTCAACTTGAAACTTGATTGTACATTTTCTATGCAGAGCAAGATTCAGTTACTGGTTGAGAATTAGTTTTCTAGGTGATAGTTGCAGATATGTACTGGAAAGCATGCTTGTATCTTCTGGGCAGAGCCTTGCTCTGTTGCCTGGAAGTTCAGTTTTTGTATAGGAGGAAGGTTTGAAGGAACCACTGTGCTTATACTTTCGGCGGTGGCACCAAGCTGGAAATCAAACGTAAGTACTCCTAACCGATTTTTCACTTTCTCTATCTACTTTTGTTTGCTACTTGCTCTTTATTCTGCTCTTTTGTTAGTTTTGTGTAGTACAGAGATGAAAAAAAATTTCATTCCAGGTTAGGTACAGAGGAAGGCAAATTTTTCTTCCATAACAAGCTCAAGGATAGGTAATCTGTAAAAATTCAATCAAAATAGTTTAACTAGGGAAGAGTGCTTGCTACCTTGCACAGAAAAGTTTTCTGTAGGGGTAGGAAGCTACTGTGGTTCACTTTCGGTGGTGGCACAAAAATGGAAATCAAACTTAAGTAGCATTTCATTCAATTTTTTGTGAAGTTTCTGTTCCATATCACTTGGTGATATTCTGGTTAAAGACATCATTTCTAATAACTATTTAAAAAAAAAAGAGCTGAAAACCTGCCAGATTCAAATTTGGGCAAACAGGCAACTTATTATTTATAATAATTTATTATTGAGAAGGAGAGTACAATTTGTAAGGAGATTGAGAAAGAGCTAAATTCTTCCCAGAACTAGCCAATCTAGTAGAGTCAACTTCAAAAGGAGGTTTTTGCTGAGGGAGACACATCAGAGTGATTACTGTGGCTCACATTCGGCTCAGGAACCAAGTTGGAAATCAAGCGTAAGTGCACTTTTCTTAGCTTATTTTCTCCTAGGTTTGTAAAGTTTGGGGAAGGGGGGTTCATGTTTGAGAGAAGAGATGACAGTGCTGAAGAAAATTATTCCACCTCAAATTAATTGGGTGGGAATTAAAATCTAGGATAAGTAAAGAATTAGTCTAAATTGGAAGATTCCCCCCCCCATCAGTCAATTTAGTGAGGTCACTGGGGTTTTTGTTCAGGGAGTGTTTAAGTGAACAGTATGGATCACCTAGGCAGAGACCCACTGGGAGGTAAACCGAAGACATATTTTTCCTATTGTCTCTGAAATTTTGATCTGTCAGTACAGGCTTTTAGAGGATGAAGTATAAATTCAAGAAAACATAGTTGAAAGCAATTCAAATTTATTAGCAGTGTCAAAATTGAAGTTCATCTCCAAAAGCAGATTTGGGGACAAAAAGATCAGAGACTAAATCAGATCATCAAACAGGGGTGGGAGGTGAAGAAGTGGCAAAAGGTACAGTATAAATTAATCAAGAACCCGTAGAGTTCTAAAGAACAAAGATAAATGTATCTTCATTAAATTTTAGCATAGATTTTCTTTCTTTCTGTTTTGACTTTATGATAAATTCTTTCGAATAAGAACTAAAAATTTGAGAAAAATCTCTATTTGCCATGTAGAAAAGGCAGCTAACTTGAAAATTACCAGCAATGCCATTTATAAAGTCTAATATGAGCAGTAAATTCTCAAAATCAGCATAAAATGTTCATGGCAGTTCCATGGAAATAGGGTCTTAATAAATTATCTTCTTCCCCCTTATTTTCAATTGTACATTAGACTGAATTTGAAACAATCTCTTTTTTAATGATAGAGGACTACCATCTGCAAAAGCCTAGTATTTTTTAAAAAAAGTTAAGAAAAAGAAAAGAATTGCTTTTTTTTTCTAAAACCATCAATAAGCTGTCTATAAGGAATTGAATTTTTTAAATGGTCTTAAATTTGTAGAAAAGTAGGAGAGATTTTTTAAGCATTGTCTTTTGATTTTTCTCTGTTATTAATGTTAAAATTGGCCATGGTTTTGTACCATGATTATACTGAAATGCAGGCCAGCGTTTACACAGGCAAGAAGGCTTTGGCACAGCTAGCACCATATATACTATATATAAAGTCCCTGGCCATCTTTCTCCTCACCTGGTTCTTGTGGCCTTGACATAACGTTCTTGTGCCAGAGCCGCCTGGCTGCTGAAGACCACACTACCAGACGCTAGTACAAGTAACTCTGTGTGGCCCTTTTTCCTGTCACCCAGAAATAAAAGTAATTCCACTGACAATAAAAGAATGTAATTGTGTTGGGCAGTTAACTAAAACTAGTTAAGAAGGTAAAAGATTGACTAGAAATTTAAAAAGTTAAATTCACAATAATTGTTCTATTCTCCTTAATTAGAAAATTGCACTGTTATTGTAGTAGTTGTTAGTTGCTATTTTGTTGGCTCCTGGTTATTAAAAAAAACAACTTAAAGCTGTTTCTTTCGTGTTTTGTAATGAGTTAAAAATTATCATCAAATTTATATAACTCTTAAGAATAAACTCCACATTAAAGTAAACAAGATGGTTTAGTAAGTAAAGGAGTAATATATTTTGGGGATGTTTTCAATTCTCAAAAATGTCATTTTTTAGGTAGGATTGTATTTCAGTAGCACAAAATATCCAGTAATATTTAAGGTAATTACCAAAAAAGTATGTGCCCTAATACTGTGACAGAAAACTTTTGTTTTGATATTTAATCTCTTAACCTCTAAGTTGGTACTTTATATTCTTTAATCTTATTCCAAAAATAAAATTTAAGAAGGATTGTCTGATCTTGAGCAATTTAACATCACTTTTAATTATTCTATGAATACTCTTGAAACTCTCTTTAAAGCCAACATGATTTCTCAAAAATAATTTTCATATTAAATGTGCTATTATTTAATGTTTTAATGTAGGAATCAAACTAGTGGGAATATTGTCATAGAGTAATTTTCCTTAATTTCTAGAGATTGTGCTATTTTTGCTGCCCAAGGCTCATAAATTTCAGAGAATTCAAACACATTCTCTGAGAACAATTTGTTATGAAGGTTAAAGGGGAAGAAACTATCAAGTATAAGAAATTCATTACCTTGCATTGAACTGCTTGATTATCAAGTTTAATTATACCCTCATCTGTGAACTTTCCCCTGTAAACAAGGCTTGATTTTGCTACTTTAGTTTGAAATGATAGCAAACTTAATGGGGCCTTCCACTGACTTGAATCTCCATAAAGGGAAATTTCCAGAAGGCCATCTGGCAGCTATACAAGGTCAGAACTGAAGCTAGCCAGTTCCTCCTAGGCAGGTGGCCAAGGTGGCAGTTGACCCCAATACACCACACCAACTCCGATCTGGTTGAAAAATTGCTCCTGTGTGGTTGCAGATCACTAGACTAGTCTCAGTTTTGCTTTGACGCCTCCGTGAGAGGTGGTAGAATGGCTGACCTGATAATGGAAGGTTTCACCTCCCATGCTTTGGACCAGAACTTAAGGTGAATCTTCTCTAGGGTGAATCTTTTCCTCTAAGCCAAAGCAAGCACCAGGAATGAAAAGGACAAAAGGATCCCATAGCCACTTGTCTTCCTTCTTGTGATGAAGTCACCATCTGTTCTGACTTCACAATTCTAAGGACTATTGTGAGTGGCTGTGTTCCCCTGCCTGAGGTATTGGGTTTACTGCAGGAGGTGGGAAATGCCATTGAAGAAAGAAGAGGAAGTCAGAAAAAGTCTATGACAAAGTCTGAGAACAGTTGCAAAGAAATGCAATTCCAAACTTTTTTAAGTGGTAAGGAGAGGTTGAGAGAAAAACTTAAAATATTAAAGATTAGAAAACTGGAGTGCTGTAGCTGCTTTCGTTATGTCTGTTCCTAGCATATGCTGTGATTTCTGCAAATGATGCACTCACATAATGTCTCCCATTGCTTACATGCCATCTACTGTGTTTCATTCCTCAGGGAGTGATACTAAACCAACAGTCAGCATCTTTCCACCATCTGCTGAACAGTTACAGGGCCAGAGTGGCACAGCCTCCCTAGTATGTATGGCAAATAACTTCTACCCCAAAGATATCGAGCTGGTCTGGAAGGTGGATGGTGTCAAGCAGGAAAACGGCATCTCTCAGAGCTTCACGGAGCAGGACAGCAAAGACAGCACCTACAGTCTCAGCAGCACCATGACGATCCCCACAAGCACCTACAATAGCCACAGTGTCTATGCCTGTGAAGTCACTCACAAGGCGTTGTCCTCTGTCCTTGTGGAAAGCTTCAACAGGAATTCATGTTAGAAAGAAGCCTGCTGAGCTAGGCCTGGTCCTCAGTGTCAGCCCCACCCCCTCTCCCTTTTAGACCTCTGGCCCTTTCCCCACCAGATACCTATATCTCTAATTCATCCTGGGGCAATCCCCACCCCATCTTCCTCTTTGGCTTGAATTCTATTTGTATTTGTGGGGGAAAAAATTAAAAAAAAAATGAAAATGTCTTGCACTTTTGGTTTTGCTCTCTTTTTTTAAGGATATATATCTATTTATTGGTTTCCACATGAAGTTTGTATGCATTGTGTTTCAGTCATATACATTATGTTTCATACATTCACATTGTGTACTATTCAATCATTCTCATACATTGCATTTTATAAAACAGATCAACATTGATCTATGTTCACTCTCACCTCATCTTTTCATGTCCCCACTGGATCTTTCCAAATTCCTTTACCCTCTCCCTTCACCCACCAAGTACTGTGTCCCTGTGATTTCCTCCCTTCCCTCTCTCAGCCCTCCATTTTCCTCCCCTTCCCACTTTGGACTTTTATACACATCTTACTAGTTAGCTTTCTATTTTTAAAATAATGGTCTTCCAAAGTATTTTTCATAATGAGACTGAGTTAGTTCACTCAGCATAATACTCTGTAGCTGCTCCCATATTATATATTAAGTACTTTTCAAAGTTGTTGCTCCTGAGTGCTGCATAGTATTCCACTGTGTGAAATGTACCAAAATTTCTCAATCCATTTGTTTGTTGATGAACATTTGAGCTGTTTCCATGTTCTTACTACTGTAAGTAAGGCCGCTATGAACACTGGTGTACACATCTCCACCTGTGTCTCAGTTCTATTTTCCTTGGGGTTCCAAGCAGTGGAATACTGGGTCATTTGGGATTTTTATGTTCAGCTTTTTGAGGAAATGCTAACCTGGCTTCCTGAGTGGTTGCACCATTTTACAGTCCCACCAACAATGTATCAGAGTTCAAATCTTTCCACATTCTCCCTAACATTTATTACTTGCTGTCATTTATTACCTTGCCATTGCTGCTGGGTGAGATGGTATCTCATTGCGGTTTTGATTTTCATGTCTTTTATTGTCAGTGACTTTGAGCATTTCTTCAGATGTCCATTAGCCAACCAAATATCTTTCTCTGTAAAAAAGTCTTCCCATGTCTTTTGTCCATTTTGCAATTGTGTTGTCAATCCTTTTCTTGTGGAAGCTCTGTAGTATTCTGTAAACTTTCATTATAAAGACCCTTGCCTGAGATGGCATTGCCAAATGTTTTTCCCCAGTCATGAGGTTTTCTTTCACCCTATTATAAAAAGTTTTGATACACACAGGGATTTAATCTTTAGAAGGTCCCATTCATTGACATTATCCTTTCCTGGTTCTACATTCCAGGCTTTATTTGCCATTCTATTTATACCACAGGGTAAGCCTTCTAACTCTGGTCCCTTTTTGTCTCCTTTTCAATATTTTTTTTATTTTCATATAATAATTCCTTTACATTGTGTTTCATTCATATACATTGTGTTTTGTTGTTGTTGTTGTTGTTGTTGTTGTTATATGCCATCGAGTTGCTTGCGACTCATAGCGACCCTATGTACAAATGCCCTAAATGCCATTCTATCCTGTGTCAACCTTGCCGTCTCAAACACACTCATTCCCACCACTCCACTCACAGAATCAATCCTTCTCATCGAGGGTCTTCCTCTCCTGCACTCTCCACTCCTCTCTCCCTCCACTCACCCAAACATGATGTCCCTCTCCAAGGACCAGTCTCTCCTTGCAACATGCCCAAAGTATGTCAGATGAAGCTTCAGAATCCTTGACCCAAGGAGCATTCTGGCTTCACCCTCTCCAGGACAAACCTGTTTGTTCTCCTAGCAGTCCATGGTATATTCAACACTCTTCTCCAGCACCACAGCTCAAACACATCAATTCTCTATCATCCCTATTCACTGTCCAACTCTCTGATGCATAGCACCTAATTGAAAAGACCATAGTCTGGATCAGGCACACCTTGCTCTCCAGCGTGACTTTGTTGCTCTTCAGTACTCTTGAGAGGTCCCTCACAGCTGACTTTCCCAATGCAATTCATCTCTTCATTTCCTGGCTGCAGTTACCAAGTTTGTTAACTGTGGAGTCAAGTAAACGAAAACTGTTAACTATCTCAATCTTTTCACCATCCATACTGATGATGCCAATTGGCCCAGGGGTGAGAATCTTTGTTTTCTTGATGTTGAGCTTCAATCCATATTGAAGGCTGCAGTCCTTGACCTTCTGCAGCAAGCGTTTCAGGTCCTCCTCAGTTTCACCAAGCAGGGTTGTGTCATTTGCACAATGCAGGTTGTTGATGATTCTTCCACAAATCCTGATGCCACATCCCTCCTCGTACAGCCCAGCGTCTCAGATGATCTGTTCTGCATACATATTGAAAAGGTATGGAGACAAAATACATCCCTGATGGGCCCCCTTCCCTCGCCCCAGGATGCCATTGCCAGAGAAATAGTTTTGGGCCCTCGAAAAATTGTGCACTGGTCCTGGAGGACACATCCCTCTCACCTGGGAAGCCATCCTCTTGCATCAGCACCAGGTGGCAAACAGAAGACAAGCGGTATTAACCCACAAGATGTCAATCCTGGAGTGGAAGTTTAAGAGCAAGGACTTTTACTCAGGACCTTCAAAGAAAAGAAGCTGTACATGACAGTTGTACTTAACAACTTTAAATTGAAGTCATAGTGACTTTATCATAAGGGACAGCAGCATGATATGGTCAGAATCAAAGAAATTCTGATGGCTTGAGACTAAGGCCATCACATCAGGGGCTGTTCAATTGGAGATGGGTGTTGAATGTTGTAGGCAAAAGTGGGTGTTGAATGTTGTAGGCAAAAGTAGGAAGAAATCTTTGTAAACTTGGACTTTGCTGGGAGATCTGCGACCCAGCCTTCCTGTCTGCTGCCACTGCAGACTTCCTGTCTGCTACCACTGCAGCATTCCTATCTGCTACCACTGCAGGTACCAACTACAGTTCCCAGAGGTCTGTGGAGAAACGCCATTTTTGTAAACTTGGACGTTGCTGGGAGATCTGCAAGGACAAGAGAGGCAGTTTCAGGCTGGGGCTTGCAACCCAGACACCCCACACCCATTTAGGCCCGAGGCCCTTGGGCCAGGAAGACAATTATATTTGCCACATCTATAAGATTTATCAACCTCCCCTAAAATACTCATGTACCACTGGGGATTAAGTTATGTGGGGAATCAAACTGGTTTCTGGCCTGAGTACGTAGGACCCACTAACTCAAACAACAGGGTGGCCTGAGCATCTCCAAAGAGTGGGGAAGCTATTCCAGAAAGGGAACAACAGACTTCCTCCTTCATTATTTAGGTTCTCCTGAGGCCCTCACCACATGTATCATTGTGCGCTTCCTCCCTCCCCACTCACGTGAGCGTTGGAGTGTGCATGCACCCTCTACGCATTTACTCTTGTTTCGGCCCAATCTTCTTCTGGAGCAGTGACGTCAAATCAAAAACAGCTACCACCTCAGACACGAAGAACTCTGCCACACCAATGGCCCATAGAAAGCAGAGTGCTTCACTTGTCCCACCAGCCCAAAGCAAGATATCAA